ATTTTAATTATAATATTTCATAATATGCTTGAATATCTTCCAGTATTCAAGTCTACCTGATTACTTTTATCTTTCAAAAAAATTTTAGTTAATCTTAAACATTTATTTATCCACATGAATTTTCTAATAAATTTGTCTAGCATTAATAAAAAATGTTTTATCGGTAGACTACAGAAATCATAAGTTGCACATTGATTTAAAATTAGTTGAGATTCTTCTAATATTAAGTTTCTCTATGAAATTAGAAGTCATTCCTTTTTAATAATTCAAGTTTTGTTTTGGGTGCTTTAGTCATATTATAAAAGTGTTTTCATAGAAAGCTGCTATATTTCTTATTTAGAATATTCCAAGTTATTCTATGATGTGTGGCTATTGTAAATGAAATATTTTCTTCCATTACCCTTCCTAACAAGCTTTTTCTAGAAAAAAAAATATATGTGTGTGTGTGTATATATATATATATATTTAACTGATTTCAGAGAGGAAGGGAGAGGAAAAGAGAGAGAGAAACATCAATGATGAGAGAGAATCATTGATCGCGACCCCTGTGCAACCCGACCCAGGGCTGGCAGGCGTGACCCCAGCGATCTGCCACTGGCCAGGCCCCCAACCGGCTCTCCCTCGGGAGATCCCCCGTCACTGGCGGGAACTGCTGCCCGTCAGCCAGCAGTCAAGCCCCCAACAGGCCCTTCTGCCAGGGATGAGCAACCAGAGATCCCACAGCAGGAAAGGGGGGCCTGCAGCCAGCCCCTGTGTGTGCCTGCCCATTGGATAGAAGCGGTGATCACAGAGCAGGATAGGGCGGCCTGCAGCCAGCCCCTGTGTGTGCCTGCCCATTGGATAGAAGCGGTGATCACAGAGCAGGATAGGGCGGCCTGCAGCCAGCCCCTGTGTGTGCCTGCCCATTGGATAGAAGCGGTGATCACAGAGCAGGATAGGGCGGCCTGCAGCCAGCCCCTGTGTGTGCCTGCCCATTGGATAGAAGCGGTGATCACAGAGCAGGATAGGGCGGCCTGCAGCCAGCCCCTGTGTGTGCCTGCCCATTGGATAGAAGCGGTGATCACAGAGCAGGATAGGGCGGCCTGCAGCCAGCCCCTGTGTGTGCCTGCCCATTGGATAGAAGCGGTGATCACAGAGCAGGATAGGGCGGGGATCACAGAGAAGGAAAGGGCGGCCTGCAGCCAGCCCCTGTGTGCGCCTGCCCCTGAGTCACTGCTGAGATCCCCAAGCAAGAAAGAGTGGCCTCTAGCCAGCCCCTCTGTGTGCCAGCCCCTGGGTCGCTGCAGGGATCACAGAGCAGGAATGGGCAGCCTGCAGCCAGCCCCGCTGTGTGCCTGTCCCTGGGTAGCCCTGGGGATCCCACAGCAGGAAAGGGCGCCCCACCCTGGCCACAGCTCAAGGGAGAGTACAACATGCAGTGGAGGCCAGGAGCCTGAGAGATCAACAAAGAGGGGCGCCTGCTC